GAACGTAAATCTCTTAACCAAATTTTATAAGGATCGTTCCATAATTGACCCTATCCCCCATACTAGATCCCCTTCAGAAAAGTTCATTACTGGCTCAGAAATGCGAGTACAGCGTTGAAATTCGACATAAACAAGTTTTGTATGACTTAAAATCTCTCTACTAACTTTTGTGAGGATCGGTCCATTATTGACCCTACCCCCCATATAAGGTCCCCTTCAGACAATTACTTTAACACTTATTACTGGCTCAGAAATGAGACTACAGCGATGAAATTAGTCATAAACAAGTTTTGTATGACCCAAAATCTCTCTACTAACTTTTGTGAGGATCGGTCTATAATTGACCCTACTCCCCATATTAGGTCCGCTTCAGAAAATTACTTTAACGCTTATTACTGGTTCAAAAATAAGAATACAGCGATGAAATTGAATAAGAATACAGCGATGAAATTAAACGTAAACAAGTTTTATATGGGCCAAAATCTCTCTAACAACTTTTGTGAGTATTGGTCTACATTTGACCCTACTATCCCCCGTATAAGTTCCTCTTCAGAAAATGACTTTACCGCTCATTACTAACTTAAAAATACGAGTACAACGATGAATTCCAACATAAACAAGTTTTGTAAGAACTAAAATCTTTCTATCAAATTTTCTAAGGATCGGTTAATAATTGTCCCCACCCTATTCAGAATATGAAAAGCACCGATTCATAAATTCAAAGTTCATTTATAAGAAAGCAATTCTTTTCGGCCATGATTTGTTGGTGGGTATATAAGATGCGGAATGGTTGAATATAACACTCTTACTTGTTTTTTTTAAATTTTAAAAATAATCATTATCTGTTTCTGTTTTTTTAACAAGGCACTACATATTTACTAGAGCCCTGCATGAGTGACTCTATTTGTCACCCACAATGAGTAATCCACTGCATTGCACTCAACTCATTTTGTATTTTGAATATTATTTACAAAGAGTGTGTACATTTGATTTTAATAATTCAAATTTTTGTTTTACTCAATCATTGCGAGTATTTTTGTGTAAGTGTACGTCTACATTCAAATCGAGTAAGTTAACAACTTACGTATATTAAAAGAATACAAAATAAATATTTTGAATCGAGTGAATCGAGTTTTAAATGCCAAAAGAAAAATAATTTAAAAAGAAAAATAATAAAAAAACATGATATCGCAAATTAATTTAAAAATGAAAACAATGAGGTATATCTAATTAATAAATACTAAACCGTATGATAATTGTATAACGTATACAACGTTTTAGTGGATAGTGACACAAAAAGGAAAGCATTGTATATATTTACCAAATGGATTATTGAAAACTGCAGACCTTTTACATTGGTGGAAGATTCCGGTCTTCATGAACTTGTTAGCTTCGTTTTGTCCATCGGCTCAAAATATGGTATGCACGTCGATGTAAAATCATTACTTCCACACTCAACAACAGTAGGAAGAAATGTTTGTAAGCTTTACGATGTAGCATTTTCTGAGATAAAATCCGACATCACTAAAGTAAAGGACATTGGGTTCGCTCTAACCACCGATTTGTGAACGGACAGCTATTTACACAAATCATTTTTGGCAATAACAATGCATTATATAAAAGATACACAATTGAATAACGTTTTGTTGGGAATACGCAGCATGAATGGCGAAAAATGTACTAGTAAGTTGTATATACCATTATAAAATTTTAATGGCCACTGATTTCTTATTAATTATTCTGAAATCCTTTAGGTGATAACATATACTGCAAAGTTTGTAACATACTTAGCGAATTTGATTGTGTATTCACTGAAAATGTTACCGTCGTGACGGACAGAGGATCAAATATGGTTGCTGCTTTCCGCAGCACTGCCCATATATATTGTATTAACCATCTACTGAATAATGTTATTCAGAAATCCATAGATGCAGTCCCAGAAGTAAAATTTATTTGCGATGTAGCCACCAATATAGTGGGGTACTTTAAAAAGTCTGGGATAAATTCAAATATAAGAAAGTCCTTAAAAAGCTTTTGTCCATCAAGATGGAATACTTTCTATTATCTGTTGTCGTCATTAAAAAGCAGCTGGGACGAAGTTGTTTTCATATTACAAGAAAGGCATGAAATCCATCGTATACAGAATATTGATTTAAGAAATATAACTGCTGTGTTGGATATAATTCGACCCTTTGAAGAAGCCTCGAAGATACTAGAGGGAGAGAAATATCCAACAATTCATTTAGTCTACATTTATGTAAACAGCCTTCAAAAGAAATGCGCTGAAAACAACGAGGATATAAGTATTGCCCAGGCTTTGAAAAGCAAGCTTAGGCACTACTTGGATACTGTAGTTTTTTCTAATTTGTCCATCTGGCATCGAGTTGCTCTATTCCTGTTCCCCCCTGCAAACAAATTGCTAAGTTTTTCTGAAGAAGATCGAAATCTTATAAAATTAAAATGTATCGAGTTGATACAAAGCCTAGTACAGAATTGTGAGCCTATAACAGAACCACAACAACTGTCAGTAGCCTCAATCTCATCGAAAAATTTAGAGCTGTTTTCAGATTTTATTCGATCATCTGATTTTCAAACCAACGAGGATTTAGTGGCCTCAGAGTTGAGACGATACGAAAACACAGAAGTGTCATTTTTTGATGATTTCGACACACTTAAGTGGTGGGATTCGCATAAGAACGAGTTCCCCTTTTTACACAAATTAAGCTGCCGAATCTTAGCAATACCAGCAAGTAGCGCACCTTCAGAACGGGTTTTCTCTTGTGCCCGCAACGTAATTTCTGAAAAAAGATGCTCCATTGCCTCAAATGATATTGCTGTAAATCAAATTATTTTCTTACACATGAATCACAAAAAATACGCTGTTCCACAAGAAGAAGGTGCTCTCAGTGCTAATATATAATTATAAGAATCCTTATATTTCATATTTTTTCACTTTACAGTAGTTTTGTTTACATCTCTAAATAACATTCAAATATAATTATTACATGAGTTAAATTAATAAAATATACATATATACATAACAATAATGCATTTTATTTGTAATCTCGCTATAGAAATTCATAAGAACGGTAATTCGTTCAAAGAATTGCATTCTAATTAAAACACATAATAAATCCTTCTATAATTCGATTCACTCGCTGTTTTGCACTCGATTTGAAACACAAAAACACTCTCAATACTCATATCATACAATACTCTTTACATTCATGTATTTTACTATTTGAATTTTTTGTCATATACATTTTTGTTTTGAATAAATTATTATATTCATTCAAAAAACAATGAGTGAGTCAAAAACAGTACTTTCAAAAAATTAAATGTTTTAAAATATTATTTAAGTCACTCATGCAGGGCTCTAATATTTACAAGAACACTAATAGATTTTTTCTGAATGGCAATAAAATTATAATTTTCAGTAGAAATCTTAATTAATTTTTTTTTCCAATAAATAATTTATTGAGAATTTTCAATAAGTAGAATATTTATTGAACTGATAAGTGTTTATTAATAGGACCCGAAGACACAGAATGATTTAAGCTCTGTTTTATTTGAGAACAATTTACAAAAACTTTATTTTTTTTTTACTTTATTTTATGAAAATATTTTATAATTTTTTCCATTTTGAATTGCTTAAAAACTCTTGCCAAATGTTTGCTGGTTTACTTATTGTTCCGCCACAATATGATAGAGTCTATAAAAATGTAACACTCGCATAAACAAAATGACAATAATTTTTCTGTTAATAAAACTGATTTTAATACGAGTAAATAATGTTTTAATAACTTAACAACATTACATAATATTTTATTTTTATTTTTTTAAATTTAATTAATACATTTAATTAATTATTACACAAACTCTTTTAAGTAAAAAAAACAATGAATGAATAAAGTGTAAAAGAGAAACATTAAATGGAATTGTGTTTTAAAACACAAACAATCTAACAATGTCACACATTGACACTGTCTAAAAGCCAAGTTAAGACCAACAAACGACAATGTCAAACAGCAACAAGTGCCATAAAATGCAATCGGTATTTGTTGTTAACAATTTTTTCAAAAACTTTACAAAATAACTTAAAACCGGTCTAAAGAGAGTTTTAATGCTATATAATTCTCTTAAGTTTTAGTTGAAACTCTCTTAAATTAAGTTTAATGATGGTTTTTTTCGTTTTCGTTAACGTAAACTTTCTTTACGTGACGTTACTTTAAGTCTAGGTTTTGTAGAGCTGTGCATTTGTTTGTATTGGTTTGATTACCAAAACCTGGCTTTCTCTAGATTTGTGGCTAAAACAGTTAAGAAATGTATTTTACTTAAGACGGTTGTTGTAAGCGGAAGATTTTCAGAGTTTAAAACGACAATTTTTAAAAAAGTGCGTGCAAAAGAAAAAAAATTAAAACGTAAAAGTAATTTATCTAAAGCATTAAAGTAATTTCAGACGAAATTTGTGGATTAATCAGCCTGTTATTTAAAATTCTTTATAAATTTATCACTTCGTTCTCTCTCTCTCACTCTGCCCATCATAAGTTAAAATTGCTTGTTTTTCTAGCTGAACAGCAGCAGTAAATCGCTTTGTTGGCTGCTGTGTTGACTCATTTATACGAGCATTTTCATTAAAGAAACTTACTGAACAAAGTAAATTTGTTGCTTTTGTTTTTGAAAGTATCTTGGCAAAATACAAATAAAATTGTTTGTTGCTGTTGGCATCTTTAATAAGAAATTTTAACCGTGAAATTACTATGACTACAAATTTGATTTGATAAAATTTTTGTAGCGTTTTTTTTTATTTTGTTGGCACAACGCAACTAAATAGTTTCAATGAACTTTAAATCGTTAAAAAATATAAATAAAATAATAATTTTGTAGTGGTAAAAACAAAAAATATAATAAATATATTAAATTTGTAAATTTTTGGAAAAAAAAAATCAAAAAACCTCAAAGTGAAATAAAAGCTAAAGTTATTATACAAAATAAATAAAAGAAACCTCTTAAAATAATACGAAACCAACAAGTGCTTTAGTTTCTTTTGTATGTGGCTTAATTTTTCAGTGAAATTTGCTCCTTTCACCGGCAGACGACAACGGCAGCAGCGTCATCAATAAAAAGTAAACCATGTCTTGTGGTCCTTACCAGTTTCACTAACTTTTGTATTGTGTTTATGACCTCAACGTCTTCATCATTATCATCATCATCACCAACATTTGCAGCATCAGGCGTAACTTGTTTTTATTTTTCAACCGCCAGCCAGTCAGCCACTAAACAAAAGTTTATGCAAAAATTTCTTTTAACCAAAAAATAAGCAGTTCAGTCGTGTTTAAAATTGAAAAAAAAAAATTAAATAAAAACCCAAAAATTAAATCATAAAAACAACATCAAAAAAAACACATGCAATTATACATATTGTAAATTTTTTTATGCATTTCAATTCGTTTTAAGAAAAAACATTTTTTTTTGCTGTTTCCTCAGTGGATTAACTTTTTTTGGACCAACAAAAACTAACAAGTTAAAGGTAAGTTTTTTTTTGTGTTGTTTGTTTTAAAATGAAAGTGAAATTTTGTTGAAATACTTGACAAGAATACTTAAAAAATTGTTAATACCCAAAAAAATAAATGTCAAACGAATATTGTTAAAATTTCATTGTGGTGGGTGTAGATAAAAAACATTATTAAATTTAACTACACATAATAATTACCTATGGAATGGTTAAAAATTATTGGAATACGTCATTTTTTTATTTTTTTATAGAAAGGTTCGAACTGAACTTTTACTTTCATTTTTATTGCTAATCATTACTGCAGTAATATTTCGAATGCTCAAGTTTACTTTAAGTTTTTAGAGTAGATTTACTTTTTTATTCGTAAAAGAAATTATTCGATTACTTAATTTATTAAATGTTTAATTCCAGTTTTGGTAACTAAATCGAATATTAGGCTACGGGAAATAAAATAGTGCCTTAACTTGTGCTTCGAAGATAGCAACCTATATGTAAAGCACATTTCGTTTCAATTATATGTTAGTTGATCACCAATATCCGAATATGGATAGGCAAATAAAGAAGAAGATATTTATTTTTTCCATTATAATACAATTATACATAACCCCGTTGTAGTGAATCAGATCAGAGTCTCTGATGCAAATATAATTCAGAATCCCCATACTGATAAACTGGCACACCACCAACTAGTATAAAAACAGGAAAGATCGAAGCAAAAAAGCCTATTTATTAGGGTTGTCATTCGAATAAAAATTATTCGATCAATCGAGGAATAAAATTGTTTTTTTTTCCAACGAATAAAACATTTTCCATTTAAAATAAAGAATAATTCGAACAATTTTTGTCGATTAATCGAATATTCAAATAATATTTGAATGTTACTTTTTACGAATATTTTATTATACTTTTAATTAATTTGGTTCTTCATGTATCTGTCTTTTCATAAGAAAGACAACAATTTCTAAGTATATCTAACCCTGTTTCCAGGGCAAGAAGATACCGGTGATAGACAGAGTGTAACCCTTTACCGAAAATTAAAATGGAAACACCACATAGAGGATAGGATCAAAAAGGCACATCGGTGCTGGGCGATATGTAAGAGAAATGAAGGCATAAAATGTGGACTTAGTCCCACTATGACATATTGGTTTTATAATAGTGAAATTAGACTAATTCTAGCTTATGCTTCAATAATCTGGTTGACTTCTTTGGAGTGTAATATCAAACTACAACAGGGAGTTCAGCGAACATGCAGCTTGGGTACAAGTGGTGCCATAAGTACAACGTCAAGCAAGGCTCTAGAAACGTTGCTAGATATTCCACCCATTGAAACATATGTATATAAGATATGAGCTAGCACTTACAACCGAACGGCTCATAACTTTAGGTGAACTGGCCAAAAGCACGTAGGACACGTTATCAATTTATACTGGACACATTGGAAGACTATCATCGGAATCATCGGAAACTTTGAAACACTGAGCCCAGATAGAATGACTTGGTCAAGCGGAACAATTCTCACGAGCACTGATTGGGAAATTCATAGGAATTTCGGCCATTAAACTGAGTTTCAGAACATTGAAAGATAATACATTCAGTGGACACTATGATGTTTTTTTACCAACAAACCTTTTTCTTCCATGAAAAGCAGCGCACAACGGGCGCGATAGTTGCCTGTTTCTAATACATGTAAAAACGGTTTGGAAAAACATCTCAGCTTAGTTAGACATTGTATATATCATTGTAAAGGCCTCATCTTCCACTTTTAAATCCTTTGTGAAATTTCAAATTGGTTGAGATTCAACTAAGTTACTGATTTATAATAGTATTAATATACGAAACCCGTTTTTTACCCGTATCTTAAGATTTTGAAGGTGTTTGGAAAATTTTATTTATATTTTATTAAATTATTCGAATAAAAACTTTTATTCGTTATTCGTTCGAATGAAAAAAATATAGTACAATTTTTATACGAATAATTTTAAACACGAATAATTGACAACTCTACTATTTATATTTTCAGAAATACATTTCTAATTGAAACTACTACTTGAAGCTTCAATTAGAAATTAAGGTCTATTATATCACCTAGCACCCATACAATCGGACTCCACGAATAGGGCTTTTGTGCACATAATTATTATCATTTAGATAGCATAGATAGCATAATTATGATACTGTCGATTTTAGTAATGATCGGGTCTTATTCGATCCTAGCCCCCATACAAAAAGTCGCTTTCAGGAAATGACTCAATAACTCAAACAATTTACCCTTGCCCCAATAACCCTTTAGGTAAATTTGTTTAAATTTGTACAGTCTGGAACGTATCTATCATGCAAAACAAGTGATGGGTGTATTAAAAAAATAATGATATCGCAGTACCAGTTTAAACTTTTCTACACTTTTCCAAAGCGCATTGAACTGTTCAATCTCCTAACAGAAACTGCTTTGCTTTAGCAATAATGGTCAACAAAAAGTGCAGCATTTTAAATTTGTAGTTTTGCATTAACAAACTTTGGAATTCGATTTACAGTCTGGAACATATCTATCTTGCAAAAGGAGGGATAGGTGTATTTAAATATAATTGATGTCGCACTACCAGTTTAAACATTTCTACACTTTTCCAAAAAGCATTGAGCTGTTCAACCTTTAAAAAACAGCTTTGCTTCAGCAATGATGGTCACCAAAAATTGCAGGGGTTTCAAACTTTCAACAAACCAGAGTTTCTCGAAATTGGTCTATAAATAATAACCTGCTTTCTTTTGAAAATTAACATCAAATTTTATTTATGATGAAATTGTCATATTCACTTACGTTAGAAGAATTCTTGATTTCTATAAGAGCGGTAACATACCCAGTAAAAACTCGGTAATGACTTTTTAATGACTACTACATACCGTCTGTATTACTTTTAAGTACTGTTGTAACAACTTACATATAATCAGATACATACGCCGTAAGTACTTTACTTTGAGTTTTGCTTTTTTGCTTTTTTACTTTGAGTTTTGCTGTTTTATTTGCACATTTCATTGGATCTCGTCCTAGCAGTTGTTTCTCTATGTTAAAACCATTATTTGGCGCACAATAAAATAACTAAGTAGTGGTGTTGTGAGTATGACAGCGAACTAACGAACAAGAAGTTCAGATTCGTGTTCTGTGTGAGCGATTTTGTTTTTAAAACATAACCGCTTTTTAACCCCTTTGTAAGTACTTATTTAAGTAGTGATTTGTAAGCGAGCATGGTACTTGCCTCCAATATCATCAACGTGTTAAAATGTAAGTTTTTGCTGGGTACTTAATTCTAAATTTCAAAACGAACACCCAGAAATAGTGTCCTCTAAAACATAACTGAATTCTTGAAATACCTTTTATAAGTTTTTGAAGCTAATCAGATCTATTTGCCTAGTACCGGACAACACCAAGTTGTTACAATCCTTTAGACTCTAAACCAGGCATGGGGGGGTAATGATTACACAATGTATTTAATTACAAGGTCAATTACAATTACTTGTAATGTGTTATTGAACAATAACCAATTACAATTACTTGTAATTGTAGTTGAAGTTTTTCCAATTACAATTACCTGTAATGTGAAATTGACCAATAACCAATTGTAATTATTTGTAATTGTAATTGAAGTTTTGCCAATTACAATTACTTGTAGTTGTAATTGAAATTTTAAATTAAAATTACTTGTAATTGTAATTTAGGTATTACTAATTACAAATAACATGTAATTGTAAGGAACAAAATTTACAATTACAAGTAATTGTAATTGGAAATTCTTCAATTACAATTACATGTAATTGTAATTGGCAAAACTTCAATTACAATTTCATGTATGTAATTGTAATTGGTAATGCTTCAATTACAATTACTTCAAATGTAATTGAAAATGTAGTTATTACCCCCCAAGCCTGCTCTAAACTTTCTTCAAGCAGTAAAATATTTGTTAGGTTAGGTTAGGTTTATAGGAGGATGTATAGTACATCAATCGAAGAAATACACCTAGGCTACTATCGGGCCTGTTGTGCGCTCCTTTTCATGAAAAAAAATTGTTCACTGAGTATTTTATTTTTCAATGTTCAGAAACTCAGTTTCCTGAACATAATTCCTAAGAATTTTCCAATCAGTGTTAGTCAGGAATGTTATTTCCGGAATAACATCACTTCCTTCCACTTGACAGTGGCAAAGAAAGTGCTCTAGAGTTTCACTGTCCTCTCCACATGCTCTACATTCGTCTGAATCCGCACGGCCAATTTTGTATAGATGTGCTCGTAATCCTGTGTGTCCACTTAGAATACGTACCATCATACTAACTTCAGACTTGCTCATTTTGAGGAGATTTCTCGTCTTGTTCTCATCAGGGTCACCCCATAGCATCTTTGTGGTTCTACCCACCGTTTCATTATTCCAAGAGGCCTTATGGGATTCTCTCACCCATATTTTTAATTCAGCTTTTGTTGCGTCGAATGGTTTTGCGTTCGTCAGGTTAACTTCCTCGAGCTCCCTTCCCATATGATGTAAACCTTATAAACCTTAATATTTGTTAACATTCATTAATTTAACTGATTTCCTTAAGCCCACTTCAACTACCACATACATTTTCCGTATAGAATTACATTCTTCCGTACTTATGTAAATGATAAATACGTGCACATGTTTGTCTCAATTATAGTTAAATACAATTCAAATTAAGAAGCATTTCATTAAGAAGGAAATTGATACTGATTTATTTTTAAAAGAATTCTCATTCGAAAAATGTTGTTGCTTTTGTTAGAGTATTAGCACAATTTTCTGCTCAATTATTGATGAGCATTTGAAATATTTGAAAGTAATTTGATACATACTATAAAGCCGTATGACTGATGGGCAAACACTACAGATAGAATCTTATCTTTGTAGCTATATATGTAGGCGATTTATTAATGTTGAATTAATTTTCTAATAGTGATTTATAAGAAACCTATAGTAAATTATGTACTGATCGACATACAATTTTTTAGGAGGGTTA